GCCCGATGCGGGACTCGATCCAGGGACTCCAGGATCATGACCTGAGCCGAAGGCAGTCGCTTAACCAACTGAGCCACCCAGGCGCCCCTGTATGTTTTTTTTTTAAAACAGGCTCCATGCACAGCACGGAGCCCAACATGGGGCTCGAGCTCAAAACTGAGCTGAAGGCCTGAGCTGAGATCAAGAGTTGGACACTCAACCGACTGAGCCACCTAGGCACCCCACATTCAACTCTTGATCTCGGGGTTGTGAGTTTGAGCCCCATGTTGGGTGTAGTGTCTACTTAGAAAATAAATTCCTTGTAGAATGAGTTAGTGATCATTCCCTTCTCTTTAGTTTTTTGGTGGAGTTTAGGAAGGATTGGTGTTCTTTGTTATTTTTTATTTATTTATTTTTAAAGATTTTATTTATTCATGAGAGACAGAGAGAGAGAGACAGAGGCAGAGGGAGAAGCAGGCTCCCCGTGGAGCAGGGAGCCCGATGCAGGACTTGATCCCAGGACCCTGGGATCATGACCTGAGCCGAAGGCAGATGCTTAACTGACTGAGCCACCCAGGCGTCCCAGGATTGGTGTTCTTTGAATGTTTTGTCATATTCACTAGTTAAACCATCTAGTTCTTGGCTTTTGTGTTGTTGGGTGGTTTTTGATTACTGGTTCAATCTCCTTGCTAGTTACAGGTCTGTTCAAATTTTCTATTTCTTGAGTCAGTTTTGGTAGATTGCATGTTTTGGTAGTTTGTCCATTTCATTTAGGTTATCTGATTTATTGCTATACAACTTACAATACTTTTTTTCTATAAAATTAGTAGTAATGTCCCTACTTTATTTTTGATTTTGGTGATTTGAGTCTTCTCTCTTTTTTTCTTAGTCATTCCAGGTAAAGATTTGTTGACTTTCTAGATTTTTCTCTATTGTTTTATAGTCTGCATATTTAAAATCTCTATCTTTTATTTTTTCTTCTGCTAGCTTTGGTTGGTTGGTGGTCTTTTTCTAATTCCTCAAGGTATACAGTTAGGTCATTGATTTGAGATCTTTCTTTGTCCTTTTTTTTTTTTTTTTAAGTTTTATTTATTAGTTTGAGAAAGAGTGAGCAAGTAAGGGGAAGGGCAAAGGGAAAGTGAGAATCCTGAAGGAGACTCCCCATTGAGCTCAGAACCCCACACAGGGCTTGATCCCAGGACCCTGAGATCATGACCTGAGCTGAAATTAAGAGTAGGCACTTAACCAACTGAGCCACCCAGGCACCCCTCTTTGTTTTTAATGTATGTGTTTGCGCTTCTAATTTTCCACTTAGCACTGCTTTTACTACATCTGATAAGATTTGGTATTTTGTGTTTTTGTTTTCATTTGTCTCAGATAAATATTGTCTAATTGCCCTTAATGATTTCTTCTTTGACCTCTTGGTTATTTAAAAGTGTTTTATTTAATTTCCACATTGTGAATTTTCCAGTTTTATTACTTATTTCTAGTTTCATATCATTGTGATTAGAAAAGATAACTTTGTGTGATTTCAATCTTTCTAATTTATTGAGACTTACTTTGTGGCCTAACATATGGTATATCCCAGAGAATATTCTATGTGCACTTGAAAAGAATGTGTTTACTGCTGTAGTTGAGTGGAGTGTTCTGTATGTGCCTGTTCTTTT